GTCTTGGTATGCTGATGCCTTAAGTGTTCCCTTCACTGGAACTAAGGGGCCAAACCCAACCCCTGAAAAACAACCCCACACTATAATCCCCCCTCCACCAAACTTTACACTTGGCACAATGCAGTCAGGCAAGTACCATTCTCCTGGCAACCCGCCAAACCCAGACATGTCCATCGGATTGCCAGACAGAGAAGCGTGATTCGTGATACGCCTCCACTTCTCTAGAGTCCAGTGGTGGCGTGCTATACACCACGGCATCCCACGCTTTGCATTGCACTTGGTGATGTAAGGCTTAGATGCAGCTGTTCGGCCATAGAAACCCATTCCATGAAGCTCTCTACGCACTGTGGTTGTGCCAATCTGAAGGCCACACGAAGTTTGGAGGTCTGTAGCTATTGTCTCTACAGACAGTTGGTGACTTCTGCGCACTGTGCGCTTCAGCATGCGCTGACCCCGCTCTGTCATTTTACATGGCCTACCACTTCATGGCTGAGTTGCTCTTGCTCTCAGTTGCTTCCACTTTGTTATAACCCCACTAACAGGTGACCGCGGAATATTTAGTAGCAAGGAAATTTCACGGAACACCTGAATCCAATGATTTGGAGGGGTGTACCAATACTTTTGGCACTATAGTGTATGTGTATTTTAGCTTTGCATTTAGCTGTTTGGTTGGAGGACGATTAGTACAGATCTCTATTATCAGCTTGCTGCAGGCTGGAATGTCAGGGCTCCATAAAAGGTAACGGAGGCCATTAGGGTTCATGCGTCTTGTTTGCTTTTATAAGAGTAGAAATATGAAGTCATCCAGCATAACTCTGCCAGGGAATGCACAGAGAGAAGGAAGCAGCTTCATCTATCCGCCACGTCTGATAAACAATTCCATCTCTTCCTTTCTCACCCGATTGGCATCCTGCTATTAACCTTCACCAGCTCCATCCACCTAAAATGAAATTTTGTTTTGGACAAATTGTTTGTGTAGTTCATGTGATGTTTCATAACATCGTTGTAAAATATTCTGAAACAATGTAAAAGTCACTTGAACTTTTTATGGAAGTAAACCACAGAGGAAGATCTGCACCTTCAATACAAGAGCTGACTCTTTAGCAGAACACTGAATGGCATCATATGGCCATAGACGCATTTCGATGTCGATAATTATTTCGATTGACCGCCCTTAGATTGAAAGTCGCACTCAACAGATTTTATTTTTCTTTGGAACCCCCCTCCCCCCCCCCAATTTAAAAAAGAAAAGTTTTTACTTAGCCTTTCCGTGCTCTTTGCAGCAAATCTACGAAAGCCTCACTGCCCCGTTATGGCCCCTCTGTATAGGGTGGTCCCTAATCTAACAAAACTCCCAAACTGGAACATACACAGCAATCAATAGATTAGAGGCAGGTATGTCTGGAAGAACATACACTTTAGAAGCCCAGCACAGCATACAGGCAGCTGAGGACCTCCAGTGTGTCCCGTTTCCAGCATACTTATCAGCCAGTCAACAAAGGAATTCAACACTGTGTCTAACTGTTGTCAACAATGACCCCAAATACCTCATGCTAAGTGCTAATGGGCCACAGGTTGGGCACAAGGGATATAAACTACACCTGTCATGAGCATATGATAAAACATTTCAGTGCACACCTTTTCATCTCTCTGTATTCCTGTACCCCTGCATGGTATGAATTGTCACTGATCTTCGCTTGGAAATTCCTTAAAAACCCTTTCTCTCTCTCTCACTGCGCTGCTCAGAGCTGGCAGAGCTGAGTAACAACCACACCCCTCAGCACAAGTGTCATCACACTGACATGTATTGCAGAAGAACAGAGCGGGCGTGTCAGACAAGGTCTGTTACTGAGTGCTGATTCCTGAGTCTAACTATGGTGCCTATTGGGCTGCAGTATTATATTTATTAACCTTGCACAGCTGTACCAGATATATGGAAGTGTTATTACAATGTCTATTTGACTCTATATTCATTTCTGCAACTTCAGCTGGGCTTTAAACCATAGACACCCTATAGACTTCCATTACAGCGACTAGATACATTCATAGAATAGCACTGACCAGAGGCAGTGAGCTAATGGCACAGCATGCTCTGACACAGTTCTAGCAAAGCCCTAACTCGGAAGGGCGAGCACCATGGTAGGTGTAATTAATAAATCCCTAGCGTTGTCCTTTCCATTTCATGGAGAACTTTTTTAATATTCAATTTCTATAAATATCAGAATTTTCAGATATGCTTGCAAAAAATAGTAACAGTACACTGTGTATATATTTCCAGTCCCACTATCCATGTGATATGCTTTTTTCCAGAAATCTGCATAGAGCAAGAGGTAACATATTAAACATCCTCAGCCAATGCTCCCTACAGCTCACAGCATAGTTACATAGTTACATAGTATTTGAGGTTGAATAAAGACACAAGTCCATCAAATCCAACCTATTGTGTGTATGCATTTATGAGCTGGTGTGTGCGTGTATATGAGTCCATGTGTGATTTTTCTCTTAGCTATACCTGTACCCCTGTATGTTATGCTCTCCCAGGAACTCATCCAGGAGTCTCTTGAATGACTCCACACACTTAGCTGAAATCACTTCCTGTGGCAGCGAGTTCCAAACCTTAACCGCTCTAACTGTGAAGAACCCCTTGTGCCCTGTGTGGTGAAATTTTTTTTCCACCAATTTTAGCTTGCGCCCTCTGGTCTTTGTTACAGAGCTGACCGTAAACAGTTTGTTACTGAGGTTGCTGTCACCCTTGAATAGTTTATACATAAACTATTCAAGGATCATTGTTTGCTTGGCGGTGTTGGCTCACAGCATAATTGTTTGTTAGGAAGCTGTCAGCCCACAGAGTCACTAGTTGTTAGGATGCTTTCGACCAACAGCGTTACTGGTTGCTAGGATGCTGTCGGCCAACAGCATCTTTGGGTGCTAGGACACTGTTAGTCTATAGCATCACTGGTTGCTAGGATGCTATTTGTCTACACTATCACTGGTTGCTAGGTTACTGTTGCCCCACTGCGTCCTTGGTTGCTAGGATGCTGTTGGCTCATAGCGTCACTGGTTCCTAGGACGCTATTGGCCTATACCATCACTGGTTGCTAGGACGCCATCAGCCTACACTATCACTGGTTGGTAGGATACTGTTAGCCCACTGCATCCTTGGTTGCTAGGACACTGTTGGCCCATATCATCACTAGTTGCTAGGATGCTATCGGCCTACACCACAACTGGTTGCTAGCACGCTGTCTACACCATCACTGGTTGCTGGGATGCTGTAGTCCCTTCGTGTCATTGGCTGCTAGGACACCATTGGCTGCTAGGATGCTATCGGCCTACACCATCACTGGTTGCTGGAATGCTGTTGGCCCTTAGTGTCATTGGCTGCAAGGACACCATTGGCTGCACAGTGTCCTTGGGTGCTAGAACAGTGAGGGCCACACAGCACTATAACATCTAATGATTCTGTGCAGGTGACAACGTCATAGTAACCAAGGACATTGTACAGCCGGCAGCGCCATAGCAATCAATGCCGCACAGGGTATGAACACACCAGCCTCAGTGCCGCCCCTCACCGTGCCTCTATGCGACAAATGGATGTACCGGTTTCCAACACTGACAGGCACTGACATTTGTCATGCAGAGGCATGACAAAATTCTGCACAGTGTCTGTGACACTTTTTCCAGGGAGTGTCTTCTAGCTCTGAATTTGAATTCCTAAATACGTGGTGTCAGCCATGCCACCTTCATTTCTGCTGGATTACAAAGAACACAGACCTCTCCTCATCTACATAACAAATCCTCATCTCCTCCCCCTCCTTGTTTACAGACAGAGAGCACAGGAAGTTATTAGCTTGCAAGGTTTTTGGCAGAATCAGCAGGTCATTTTAACACTTATTGAACAGATTTAACTTTCAGTGGTGTATTTAACAGACCAAAACGGAGCAAATAAGTTAATTGTTGCGGGTTTACAGACACTTTAAGGAACTTTCTGCAATGTCCTGTCCCAGTATCTACATATCAAAAGCAGGTACGGATCTTCAATAAATGATATACAAAAACACTTGCAATTAGGGAAGCCGAAAATGGCACTTTTGCCAAAATGCTGAAAGTGCCATTTTCTGGCCGAAATAGTGGTGCATCCATTCTTTCTCTCCTCCCTCTGTGTCCCAGTGGGGAGGAGAGAAACTGTCACAGGAATCCGAGCGCTGCGGGAGGAAAGTCCTGTGAGCGGCTGGCGTCTCTCCTCCCCGCACCGCTCAGCCTCCTGTCACAGAGCGGGAGAGCGGTGTGTGGGTGGAGAGAGCCATTGCTGTCACAGGAGGCTGAGATCTCCTCCCGCAGCGCCCCACCCAGTCTCCTGTGACTGCTGTCAGTATGGAGAGCGGGTACAGGCAGTCAGTAATCGATGAGTGTTTGTAAATAATAACTATATCCTCAATTATGAATGAATGGGAAGTGATCTCCAGCACTTCCTGTTCATTCATGATTGTGGATATAGTAAACATACTCTGTCCTCAAGTTATGAATGGACAGGAACACTCAGTATAGAGGATTCCTGTTCATTTATAACAGGGGCTGCAGAAAAAAAAGATTGAGGGCTATGTGTCCTCAATCTCTTTTTCTATTTTAAAAAGGAAATATCAGGGGTCTGTTTAGACCCCAATATTTCCCCCGAAGCCCCTAAAAGTAAAGTAAAAAATAAATAAATAAAATATAAAAAAATTAAAACGTCTATAAAAAATAAATTAAAATTAAATTAAAAAAAAAATAGAATAAAAAACATATTCGGTTTTGGCCTGACATTTCTTTTCATTTTGGTTTCGTTATTTAAAATTTTCATTTGGTGCACCTCTACTTGCAATGTATAGAGGTGACCCAAAGAGCAGTTTTTTTTTTTTTCAACAAATGGATAGTAGGACTATACTATGCATTACAGGACATGTGGAATCATTAGCCTGACGACGTCCTTATCCTTGTTTTCTTTTAGAAGCACAGAAGCCATCATGAAGGTCACGCAGCCAGAAAAGACGCTCCTATTCAAGAAGGAGTCCAACGGCTCTGTCTTCCGCATTCCCTCTCTCATCTACATCAAAGAAGCGAACATGTTTTTGGCATTTGCTGAGAAGCGCAAAAGTGAGAACGACGCCGCGGCAGAATACCTGGTGATGAGAAGAGGAATCTACAAGACAGGATATGTGACGGTAGGTCCGCAGAAGTTGAGTTATAGCTTAGGATTTTAGGGAGAGAGTGCGCTGCAGACGTCACTTCCCGAAGGTTTGGGCTTCTAGAAGATGATGAAGCCATTTTCTGACAACAAACTAGTCATTACCTCCAATGGGGGGGATTTATCAAAACGGGAGCAGACAAAATCTGGAGCAGATTTGCACTGCAGTCAATCAGCTTCTCTGTCTCATTTTCAAATATTACCTAAGCAAACTGAATAGAGAAGCTGATTGGTTGCCATGTGCAACTGCTCCAGATTCTGTTTGCTCCCGTTTTGATAAATTCCCTTCAATGCAGCAGCCTACCCACCCATCCACACAGCCTATGCACTTGCTGGAAAACAGCCAGTGATCAAACCTCCCAATCTTTTGAGATGGAAAAAAGGGACACCTTTTAGCACAAAGTAAGTAGGCAAAGGATACTAGGGTTGCACCGATATATCGGCCGCCGAAACATATCAGCCAAAAATTGCACTTTTGGCTAAATGCCGAAAGTGAAATTTTTCTGCCGATACAGTGGTGCATCCCTGCTCTGTGTCCTAGCGGGGAGGAGAGAAACTGTGACAGCCGCCGAGCGCTGCGGGAGGAGAGTGCTGAGAACGGCTGGCGCCTCTCCTAGGAGTCTCCTCTCAGACTCCTATCACAGTCCGGCAGAGCGGTGTGGCCGTAGACAGCCAGCGCTGTCACAGGAGGCTGAGCTCTCCTCCCTCAGCCTTCTGTGACAGCGTGTCAGGATGGAGAGCGGGTACAAGCAGCCATTGATCAGCGATCGCTGAGTGTTTTTAGAAAATTGAGGACATAGCACGTTGACTATATCCTCAATTATGAATGGGAAGTAATCTACATCACTTCCTGTTCATTCATGATTGTGGTTATAGTAAACATACTCTGTCCTCATGTTATGAATGAACAGGAACACTCAGTATGCAGGGGTGTCAAACTCAATTTAATCGTGGGCCGCATCAACATTATGGTAGACATTATGTAAGACTATATAAATGTATCTAATCTTTATCATAATTGCCTCTGCATTCGATTATCACTGGTTTTAGTAATAACTTAACTAGATCTTAAAGTAGAAGTCTAGGAAATGGCCTGGTGAGCCGGATTCGGCCCCTGGGCCTTGAGTTTGATACATGTTACAAATAATATATATCAAAAAATTAAAATTAAAAACATTTTCGGTTTCGGCCTGACAATTTTTTTTTATTTTGGCTTCAATTTGGTTTTGAAATTTCCATTGCATTCCATTTCTAAATCCATTTCTAAAGGATACACCACTAGATACTTGAACCATAAAGAACTAATGCACAAGAAATGACTGGTTAAACCCACAAATGGGGGGGGTGGGAAGGTTTGGTGAAGCTCACCTTTCCGATGGGCATGGGCTGCAGGGGTCTGTGTCCTGATGAAACAGCGGGCTCCTGCACAGAGCATTGATCGATTAGTTGGTTGCAGCCCTAAAACACACAAAAATGAATGCAATTCACGATGAAAGCCACTGCACACCTATATCAATATATCCATTTTATTATAAAGATGTTCTCTCCTGGGCCCAAGACCTAATGCATCTCACCCCCAAAAATGGGCCTAATCATAAAGATACCTGGATGCAGGAAGGGGTTGGGACTTACATACCAGTCAATCCATCTGAATCATTGTTGCATATGCAGGGGACTGGTATTTAAATCCCAGCCCCTTCCTGCATCCAGGTATCTCTATGATTTGGCCCCTTTTTTGGAGATATGGACCCAGGAGGGGATTGTTACTCTATCATCCTTTAATAAAGTAGATATATTGATATCAGATTGCAGTGGCTTTGAAAGTGAATTGCATCATTGAGGAGAACAGATGGGCTTGCTGTACAGATTCAGCACCCACAGCTGTGAAGGCAGATCGGTAAGGGCAGTGTTGATAAACTCTTTTATACATAGAATGTCCTGTTTTGGCCTACTGTCCTTATCACTATGGGACTTCTCTAATAAGTATAATGGCATTGTCTTATTTTTCTTGCTCCTAGTGGGAAGGTACCCAAAGTCTGCAGGATCTCTGCCTGAAGAATGAACACATGATGAACCCGTGCCCCGTCTATGATGAGACCAGCCAAGTTCTCTTCTTATTCTTCAACTCTATACCCATTGGGGTCACGGAAAATTACATGAAGAAGTGGGGAAACTCCTGCAAACTCTGCTACGCCACTAGCAAGGACTGTGGGAAGACATGGAGCTCAGTGATCAATATAACAGACATCTTAAATGGCATCAATAACATGGCTACTTTCTTCTTGTCCCCTGGCCATGGCATCCAGACAGATTCTGGAACATTGGTGGTCCCTGCTTATGTCTACGTCGCAAAATTCTGGTGTATTCAGTACTGTTGCACAAAGTCCCACTCGTTGTACCTCTATAGTAAGGATGGGGGTGGCAGGTGGAACGTATCGGAAAGAATCGAAAAATTTGAGTGTGGCGAATGTGAGATGGCAGAAATAGTCTGCGAAGGTGAACAGAAGATGCTCTACTGCAATGCACGAACCCCATCCAAGTACAGGGTGGAGGCACTGACACTGAACGCCGGTGGTGAATTCAAAATGTCTGACAAAAGTCGAAAGCTGAAAGACACCGCGGATGGAGGATGCTCCGGGAGCATTGTAAGCTTGCCAGCGATTGTCCAACAAGGTGAGGAAGGCGGTCACTGGCTCCTGTATTCTCACCCTGCTAAGAAAGACCGCAAGGAGCTTGGCATCTTCTTAAATAAATCTCCTCTGTCATCAGAAGCTTGGTCCAAGCCGTGGGTGATTCATGATGGCCCAGCAGCTTATTCTGATCTTGCCAAGTGCCACGAGGCCAACACCTTCGCCATCTTGTTTGAGAGTGGGACACAGAATCCTTACGAGGAGATCAATTTTTGTCTTTTCACTGTGGAGGATGTTTTGCAGAACATCAATAAGAAGAAAAGCTTCTTCTCCCGATTTACGAAATAAATGGAATGTCAGGCAAACATGTTTTTTACTCACGCTTTAGTCTTGAAAATTGTAAAAACAGGAAGTCTTGGACTGATGTCTTATCAAAAGATTGCTCAAGTATTTCCCTATGTTGACCTTTCATATATTAATAGTGATGGTCAACAATTCTCAAGACATGATGGAAAGTGTCCATGTAAAGACAAATTCTAGGTTTCCCATGAAAACTGGCATATTTGATCATCTAGAATCCCTAAAATGTAATTTTGTGATCTTTACCCATATGCTGAACTAGAACACGGCAGATGTCCAAACTATTCATGAGGACAGCTTCATGACTACATAAATCTATTGTTACGTGCAATTTGTTATTTTCTTTTAGGCACGTTTCCCTACTGCTGTCAAACAGCTATCTTCTGATGTACATATGCAACTCCACTATCAACTCCTGATTTGCAGCAGTTGCAAGATGCACACATACAAGCAATGGAAAGCATCATGAAATTTCCCATCATAAGTCACTTGCAATGAGTCATGTGATCTCCCGTCAACTTAAAGTGACACTAAACTCAGGAGTTAATCTTAAACATTCATTCAAGTACCTCAACTATTAACATTAATGTATCACTCGGCTGTAGATCCTCAAATCATCTTTGAATTGGTGCTGACACTGTCCTTCCTTCTGGAGGGGGGCTACTTTTGTTCCCCTTGGTCCCTGTGTGTGTTGTAAAGAAGCCACCGCTCCAGGCTGGCTCCTCTGATGGACTACAATCTCATGTTTCGTTTACAAATTAGTATTGAGATTGTAGTCCATCACAGGAGTGAGCTTGGAGCGGTGGCTACTTTACAACACACACAGGGACCATGGGGAACAAAAGTAGCCACCCTCCAGAAGGAAGGACAGTGTCGGCACCAATTCAGAGATGATTTGAGGATCTACAGACGAGTGATACACAAAGAAGATACATTTTTGTTAATAGTTAAGTACCTAAATACATTTCTAAATTTAACTCGTAAGTTTAGTGTCACTAAGTCTTAATTGGGATTCTCATTCCATGAAAAAGTGGGCTGGTATTACTACCAAAGGTCATCCAGAGCTGCCATATTGACTGATTGTTCAAAGTTCACATGTATAAAACAGCTCCCCCTAGTGGACAAACGAAAAAGAGTGTACCTATGACTTCAGCTGGCTGTTAGGGTGGATTCACTTGGACATTACTATCAGACAGTTCAGTTTGTGCCAGAGTAAACAAATTTACCTACTCACATAGGTTGGGGCTGAGCATTTGAGTAGCAGAGTACTGGGCAGTGGGCAAAAGCCTTCTCCTGCATCATGCGGCAGGTTGCTGGGCAGTCGAGATACAACAGAAGTCAACAGAGCCAATTCTCAATTGCCTTAGCAGCATTTAATTCATGGCTGAAGCAAGTTGAAGGGCATTCGTGTAAAGTGTGGCTAGTCGTACCAAGAAGAAGCTTCAGGATGCATCAAAATGAACATAAAAACATATTCCTTGTCCCAATACATGGCGCAGCCCTAATCCTGTGCCAAACATCCCTATGGGTGTGGGCAAAAGCCTTCTCCTGCAGCATTCGGCAGGCTGCTGGGTCAGTACAAGTCAACGGAGACAATTCTTACCGTAATTGCCTTATCAGCATTTAATTAACGGTTGAAGCAAGTTGAAGGGCATTTGGTAAAGTGGCTATTCATACCAAGAAGAGTCTTCAGGATGCATCAAAATGCACATAAAATCATATTCCATGTCCCAATACATGGTGTTGGCCTCATCCTGTGCCAAACAACCCTATGTACATTTCTGGGGGGTGACTCTTACATAGTGACAGGTCTTTCAGCTGTGGTGTGATAAGATTTAGGACCATGTCACCTATAACAACATACCAGTGGTAGAATCACCGACATTCAACTGCCACCTTCTTAATGGACGTTGTTTCCTTGCTATCCAAAATCATGAAGAGTTTATTGTTTTAATCTCTGGTGATGGAGTCTTGGTGGAGCAATATCTCAATGGTGCAGGTAGCAAGTGATCAATGTCATAAGAGGTGAGTCAAGTCTTAGTGATTCGTCACCAGCAACTGACTCACTAGTGTGACATAGTCCTTGGTGAACACTTGCCAACTGCATGCCAACCATTATACAAGCAATTGTTGAACATCGTGTGTTCATTAGGCCTGTTGGATCTTGGAGTTCAATCACACGTCCGGGTATCTCTATGGTGGACGTTCCATTGTCTTCCTCAGCAATGAATGATATCTGTATGAATCATGGGCTAGGCAATATTTTTACATAATGTGATTTATATTACAGTATTTTCTGATTTGTAAATCGATTTTATATGACTGCATGCTAATTATTTCCAGAGCAGTACTGGCAGTAAAATCCTGGAGAAGGTTCCATTACTAATAAAAAGCATCTTGTTGTTTATAAATGAGGAACTCTTGGAATAACTAAACACAACCAGTTACCACCATTAGCCTTTTCTCTTACACTACAGGAGATGTAAAGCCAATTACTAAAATGTCATCTAAGCTTTCATGTTATGCGGTATGATGTCATTTCCATATTCATTTTAAATCTGCAGCTTTAATTAAAATAATAGGATTTTGTACTCACCGTAAAATCCTTTTCTCTCCGTTCATTGAAGGACACAGGCAACAGATCGTAGATCCTGAATGGTAGGGTAATATCGCCACCTGCAGGAGAAGGACGCTAGGCACAAAACTAAAGACCAATTACAGCCTAGGGGCGGCCCCTGCCGGTTGGCCCCAACCAGACCGGGGCCTCGAGTAGCGGCCGCGGCCGTCCAGGGAGCGGCATCCACCACGTGGCACCACCCACCCACCACCAAGTACCTCCAAGGCCCAGGTCCCCCCAGAGGGGGCCTGTACAGGAGCCAGCCAGCACCATAAGGTAGGAGGGAGGGAGGGAGGGGAGGGAAGAGGGAGAGAGGAAGACACAGGAGCCTGCAGCTGTGAGACAGTGCAGCCTGCAGCTTACCTCAGATGCAGGTCCTCAGGCCATCCACCGGAGACCCCACATACATACCACCAGGGAAGACAGGAACCATCGCCAGGATCCAGGAGGAGCAGGGCACCGGCAGGAGAACGCCCCCGACCGAAGCCGCGGCGCCGCCAGCCTGCGGGGAGAGCCGCGACCGGTGGGCCGGAGCCCCCGGTCAGGAGCCCCCCCTGGGACGAATCTCATAGGCGTCGGGGAGGACCACCCGTCGCAGCCGACCCACCGTAGCAGAGTCTGCATGCGCTCGTCGGTCACCCAGGGGAGACTACAAGGATCTACAGTCATCCAGCCTGTCGCCCTGGGGACACTTGCTAGAAGAAAATCCAGTCAAACGGAAGAAAGGAAAAAAATTCTTCAGAGACATTTTTTTAGCTCCTTACTCCTGACGCTAGGCAAAAAACTGGAGACTTGTCAGCAGGTGGGGGGTTTGGCCACCGGCAGGGGCCGCCCCTAGGCTGTAATTGGTCTTTAGTTTTGTGCCTAGCGTCCTTCTCCTGCAGGTGGCGATATTACCCTACCATTCAGGATCTACGATCTGTTGCCTGTGTCCTTCAATGAACGGGAGAGAAAATACCAAATGATCCTGCCATGAAAGTCCTTTCAGGTACTTCCTGTTAGAGGATGACAACCAAGGATGTGCGGTCATCGGATGTGCCGAGCCTCACCTAGTATTATGGAGGAAAAAGCTGTCAGCTTCAAGTCTGAAGCCGACAGCTTTTTCTCCATTCAGATCGGCTTGTAACAGGTTACACAGCAGGGAAATCCTCCCCGCTGTGTAACCTGTCATGGATGGAGCGCTGCCTGTTAATTACAGGCGGCGCGACACCCGGGTTTTGACAGGTAGTTAGGTTACACAGCAGCGGGCTTCCCCACAGCTTGTGTAACCTAACTATTGAGGAAAGAGCTGTCACAGCCTCTACTCTTTGTAAGAGGCGTGAGCTCTGTGGATGGCATAGACCAATGGCAAAGCGCCATTGGTCCAAGATGTCCAATCAAAAAAAGAAAAAAAAAACCACTGAGGCCATCGATCTCGATGCTTCAGCAGTGACGAGCAAGTGAGGAACAGGGAGGCTCCACCCTGTCTCCTCCCTTCCTCCTTCACACTAGCTTGGGGACCGGGTTGGAGGCAGGGTTTCGTCTGGCGTGGGGCTTCGGCCGGTGGGGGCGTGGCAGGACGTGCTGGCCAAATGCTTCACCCGGAACCAGAGGTACTGCATGGCACTGATGACAACGCTCTGTCAATGTCTCTCAGTCCTCCTGCAAAGTCATGCTTCTGATGGAGATATACAGATGTGTCCCCTGCACTCCTTACGGCATTCACGGCCATAGATTTAAGAAGTGGTGCTCGTAGCGATGATCACGGATGGCGCCGTGCACAACAGACTTGTATAGTAGAGAGATCACCAGCACTCAGAAGGTTTTTTTTATCAAATCCTTACATTAATTTATTCGCTGCAGCATCACATATATCAGTATATCCAACGTTTTGGATGCGCAGGGTCCCTTTATCAGGGCGACATAGTGATGCCTTGATGATGGGACCCAGCGTGGGCCCAAAACATTGGATTTACTGATATATGTGATGCTGCATCATAATAACTGAATATAAGGATTGATTGAAAAACCTTCGGAGTACTGGTGATCTCTCTTCTATGCAATGCTTCTAATGGAGACTGCCATTGTTGATATACCTTTAAACAGCAGGCATGGCCCACTCTTATCATCATCAGAAAACCTGCCTGAGAAATGCCATGCATGTGGACAAAAAGTGGCTGCAAGAGATCAGCACTACTGAGATGCAACAAAAGGATGAAAAAAGGTGAAAACAATATTCTATTACCTAAAAAGAATTATAGCAATTGTTGATGATGTACGATTCTTTAGCAAGCACAATGCCATTCAGTAAGGCTTTACCTCTACATTAAGAGAACCTCATATTGAGTCCCATAACTGACACCTTCTGACTGTATCCAACCCCATATCAAGCAGGTTTCAACAGTACACAAAGCACAACAGCA